TCCTCTACACAGTATGAGGTTTTTTTGGTGTTGTTTGACAGTGTTTATTTCTAAATATCATGTTGCTTTCTCCCCGTGACACCCAACATCCCGTTGTGTCCCTGTGGTATTAGATGAAGCAGTCCAGGCATGGTCCTCCTTCTTGGTGCACAGAGATCAAGGTGGTCCCTGGAGCTGTCACTGGTGGCTTGTCACTGGCACTTCTATTTCCATGCACTCAGGGACATGCTGTCCTCTCAGCAACAGTCACACAGACAGAAACTTAAATAAGTGTGACCCTCCTCTGAGGAGTGCAAAGCTAATTAAAGATGTTCACCTGTGGCATCTTGCGCGTCGCGAACGCTGGAGCAGCACCTCTGTGCCCCATTCTCCAGCCCCATCTGCTCATCCACTTGGCAGTGTGAGATGGTGTATGGGGCTGTGCCTCCCCTGGGGTCTGTCTGGTGGTGATGGTTTCCTTCTATTTTAAATTCTAAGTACCAAGGGGCAGAGCCAGAACCTGGTTTAAGGCTCCTGGTTGTAATCCCTGCTCTTTCAGAAGCCCGCGTTTTGCAGAGATAGCAGTTCTTTTTTGTTCCTAGTCTTCCGTTACCTATGGCTGCTCTGAAAGGTTGAAATGAGAATCGTCACTGGTTCTTTGCTGAGCTGGCGGGGGGCCGCATCCCACAATAGCTGCGGTTTCTGGAGGTGTGTTTATACGTGCATAAATACAGCCAGAAAGTTCTTTGTGTACGACTGCAGCGAGGCTGTAGCTGGCACTGCCCTCCTGCCAGGCGCCGCTTGGCTGGGGCTGTTCTCTGCAGAGACATGGGGCTTCAGTTTTCCTAGAAGAGTAAATTATTGGGACCGCAAATTGTCAAAGTTGGCATCACTTGCTGAACGCTGGAAGGAAGAAGAGTCCTAGAGGATTCCTGATTGAATGCGTTTTGGTGTGTTTCCAGAGAAATGGGCTGAGCTGTACCAAGAGCAGGCGGGTCCTGTGGGGCTGTCAGGCAGCGGTGAGACTTTGCATGTTGTTTGCAGTGATATCCCTGGCTTGGAAGCACGGCGATATTCCTTCAGCAGCCGTCCGGCTCTCCGCACGCGTTCCTGCTGCTGTGTGAGCAGCTGCCTCTCTCCAGCCTGCGCTCCCTCCCTGCTCCCAGGCTTGGGGTGTGTAAAGCTGGGGCCGTTTGGCAGTTGTGTATTTGTGCTGGGGGAGAAAAACTTCCAAATGTGTGTTAAAATGAGGGAGAACATGGGCTTGTCTCTCCCAGCGGGGTGATGTCGCCCCATTTTTACACTCAGCTGATCTCTTCCTGCCCAGCTCCAGCTGCTGAGCCTGGTGGCCCCTTCCTGCTCTCGAGCTGTTTTCCTGCTGTGCTGGCTTCTGCCTTTCTCCCCAGTCCCCCTGCCTTGTCCCCTGGTGCCACCACGCCACCCCTCAAGGGCCACTGAGGGAAGGCACAACTTCCCGCCCAGTGTCGCTGGGTGGGGATGCTCTTGCATCGGGCCCTGGTGCTGTCCTGCCTGCTGGACCCCACAGAGACACAGCCCCCAGTGTGAGCATCTTCTGCTCCCTCGGTGGCTGGGGCCAGCAGGCACTGCTGCAGCGGGGTCAGCTGCCAGAGTCATCCCTATGTTCACTTCCCGATGAACACCCCATCATGCTAACACCCGTGACACCGTAGCAGTACCCGGTGCTGTCCGTCCTGCCTGTGTATATAGGGTTTGTCAGAAGCGGGTGTTCAGCCAAGGCTCTGTACGTGTATGAGCACGAGTCACGTTGGTCCATAGGAGTCTGGTTTCCATTAAACGCTCCTCCGGAGCCAGGCCAGGCGTTCGCAGCACTGGCTCTCCCTCTGCCTTGTCCACTAACTCGAAATCTTCCGCAGTTGTTTTTCTGTGCTGGGGTCTGCACGTGGCACCAGGTGGCTGCCTCGGTCACCCCAGGGATGTCCTCGATGGCGGTCACCTTGGCGTGGGACAGTGGGGATGGCCATCCGCCTTCAGCTGCCGTTAGCGCCGGGTGGCACGGTGGGGTGAACAGAGTCACCGATCGCAGATGGGACTTCCTACACCCACTCTGCTGAAGGTGAGGATGGCTCCCCAGAATGAACACAGTTCCCTGGTCCAGGCAAAAGCAAACAGCACTGGACTAATTACGAGGCGCTCATGGGTTTTTTTCCACTGTTAGGCTAACGTGAGATGTGGTTTATAGCACGTCCACCTGGATTTCCTTCAGCTAGACAATTGGCAAATAAACTTTCAAGCCAGACAATGTTTTGAAAGGAAAATGTAACTTTAAATCAGCTATACGGTTTCTTTTTTTTCTGGTTAAAATATATTGTGTTTGGCTTTTTCAAACCCTTCTCTGCTATTGCCCTACCCCCTGTTTCTATAAAAACCAAAAGGCAAGCAGCTCGCCAAGGACCGTTTCTCCGATGCTGGGGCTAAAAGCCATGCTGACACATGCAATGGAAAAACCAGTGCATGCAAACCCCCCGTCCCCCCAGCTCTGAGAGCGGGATCTGTGTGTGCAGCCGTGCTGCTGGCTCCCGGGGACGCACGCAGCTGGAGCTGGCCGGTGCCTCGTCGCCAGCGCACGTGGAGGGGGACGGCCGGACGCAGGACAGGCAGACACCAGCCAGGGCAGGCAGGGCTGGTGATGGATCCAGTGCCATACTGGGAGGGTGAGATGCGAGGAGCTGCCTCAGGCACTGCTGGCTTTCAGAGGGGCTGCTCAGGGACCTGGCGCTGGGTCAGGGTGCAGGATTGAAGTTCACCCACTTATAAATGTAGTTGAGGTGCGAGGAGGGGCCGTCAGCAGCACCCAGGGGAGACAACAAGGGTTTGCAGGGGAATGAACAAAGATTCCCCTGAGCAACAACCGACTGAGAGCCTCCGGCCTCGGCCTGAAGCGAATGCTGCAGGGACTGAGAGTGAATTATTTGCTGAGGTTTTCCACCAAATCAACGGCATCATTCTGTGCTGGAGTTCACCCATTTAGGCGCTCTCAGCCCCCCGGCAGCTGTGCTTAAATAGCGACATTCACGCCTGAATCTGCCCATTCAGGAGCAAAGGCTTGACCCCTCGGAGGAAACTGCTGAACGAGGCTTTTGAGGGGACGTGGGGACTGCCTGCACTTCGAGGCGTTGCTCCTCCCCGGGCTGGGGACCTGGCTGTCCCCACGTGCTGTGGTTGCTCTGGGATCTAGACAGTCCCTGGGGATCCCGGGGTGCTCCTGGCCTGGAGACAGGGTAAGCGGTGCAATCTGGGGAACCGCGGGGATCCCACGCCGCCACTTGATTTCTTTTCCCAAAGTCCAATTCAGTGTTGTCCAATTTTTCTCTCCCCTTTGTAGCAGTGTTTCAGAAAACCCCATTTTTGCCTTTGTGGTGGTAAGTTATTTTGTCACTGAGTCTGCAGTGGAAAAGAACGAGCAAAAATACATCCTGATCACCATTTTCCTCAGGCTAGAAATGCAAGGGGTAGCCCATCTTGTGCAGATACAATTCCTCACTAATTCACACCTTGGTTTTGACTATTATTTCCTCCCAGATTTTAACAAGTGATGCTAAAAGTGATTGTGCTCATCTTGGTTTTTTTAAGCAAACAGACAAATTACAAAAGCCACCCATGTACCCAGCATCACTGTTAAAGCAGTCTTTCCCCTGGCTTGGCAAAGCAGGGGTGTGCGAGCTGGTTGCATGTTAACCTTTGTGCCCTCATGTCTTCCACGCTTCCAGCTTCCTGAATTCGGGAAAGCACAGTCTCCCCAAAGAGGAATCCAGCCTGGGACCGTGCCTATAGCTGGAATCCAAAATAAGGGAAAATAAATCAAAGTATAAAATTATCCTTTTGGTTTATTGTCTGCAACCTGTTCCCTGCAGGTCAGGCAGGTTCTGTTTGTGGCTCGATATTTGCTGTTGGAGAAAGACTCTCCCCCCCACCTTCTCCCCCAAAATAGCATCGAACTTCGTGCAGGAATGTGCGGATGATGGGAGGCCGTCAAACCCATCACATCTCCATCTTCTGCTCTGCCAGGGGGAGAAGGACTTGGGTTTTGCTGGGTGAAGTGTTACCCGTGGCTGTCACTGGGTGGGTGATTTTGGCGCTGGGGTGTGCTGCGTTGTCACTGCCCCATCCCGGCTGCAGCCCCTCTGCCAATGTCAGCAGACGCCTTCACAACAACGGAGCCACTGGCGAAGCTGTGAAGCAGCCGCGCAGGATGCAAAGACACAAAGGATCCTTTTGGCTAGAAAATTCTATGGGAAGTCCAAAAATAATTTGGGCTGAGCTACCAACCACCATCAGGAAGCGTCTTTGCTTCAAGGCTGAAGGCTTCTTCGCCAGCGGGCCAGGAGCGGGTCCCGGGGCCAACTGCAGACTCTGATGAGCACAGCGTGAGCCCTCCGGCTCGCTGCGCTCAGCGGCGGCTCTCTCCTTTGTGACCCCCTACAGAGGGGCAGTTATTTTGAGTCCTATCTTTTTCTCCACATTTATTTTCTGACTCTACAGATTTTTTTCTCCCGTATAATGGAAAAATGATTTAGACCAGCGAGAAACCTGTCTGACAGCCTCCATGCTCGGAGGAGCTGTGCTGATGCATGGCACCGGGGATAGCAGCCCTGGAAACATCCCTACAGCGGTGGGTGGATGCTGCGTTGGAAGCTGATGTTTTCCTGCAGGTTGTCGGTGTCTCTTCCTGTGTGTTGCAGGACAGGCGGCTATTGATCGGCTGTTTGTACAGTTCGGGGCATCATTAGTGTTGCAGAAGCATTTTCAACAACACTGAGAAAGAAAAAGCAAACAACCAAACCCCAAACAAATCCTTTCTGCAGCCCCTAATGGTTATTAACATTGCAACGTTTTTTGAAGTGCTTTAAATTCAGGATGAGCATGGATTTTTCTAACCACCTCTCTATAGTTTTGTTCTCTTCAGGCTAAATTTCTAAGACTTGCCACTTCTGTGTAACAAGTATAAAAATACACAGGCTCATTGCTGTGTCCTTTTCCAGGTTACTCATCGGCTGTACAGAAGTTCTCCCAGACTTTGCAGTCCTTTCAGTTTGACTTTATTGGAGACACACTAACAGATGATGAGATTAATATTGGTAAGTTTTCTTTGTTTTGATGCAAACTTTCAGTTACTGAATGTTTCCTCGAGGAGTTTGCCTGTGCTGATGGTTTTTAAACGGCACCAGGAGCTGGGTTCCTCAGGTGCCAGTCACTGCACAGCCTCTGTGTTGTGATACTTGCAGTGAAAAAATAAAAAGCCATTCCATAGCAGGTTTTACAAAGTTAAACTTTCACTGGTAGAGTTTCACATTCCCAATTCAGCAATTTGGGGAGGTTTTCCATGTGCTGGGGAGAATGGTGTTGCAGTGCAACCTCCCAGCAAGTCCCACTTACAAGTGCTGTGGTTAGACTGGAAGCACATGTGGCACTTGGCATTGGCCACATCTCCTGGTCCAGGCGAGCGTTGCTTCTAAAGCTTCCTTTGCTCCGCTGAAAACACCTTACAGAAACAAAGCGGCCCCCGCGCTGCCCTGAAAAAGGGACCAGGCTGCAAACTGCTGGGAAGAAGGAATTGCTGGATGTGTTGTTGCATGGAAAACAATCGCCAGTCTCTGCCTTCGCAGCAGGGGAGCCTGTGGCATGTGGGTTGTACTAAGCCCTGCACATCTGTGTGGAGATTAGCAATCCTGAAGCCGTTTACCTCCCTCCCAGCCCAGCAACTGTGCAGGTTACACAGCTGCCAGCCGCTAAAAAAAATGGGCTAAATTCCCTAAACCCAGCTCTTTTCAAATTAATCCTGTTCTTAGCTGGTGCTGTTGAATGGCTGGTGCAGGGATGTGGGATGCTGTGGTGGCAGCAGCGGGGGTGGTGGTGAAGGGGGTGGATAGCAGGAGATCCTCCCGGCCCCGAGAGTCTGACCCTGGTCCATGGGACAGAACCCTGGGAGTGTCTGCCTGGGTGGGGGGCACGGGGCATGGGGCGGCCCATGGCGGGGG